TGAGAGTATCCCAGGTGCACCTGTCCCTGCTAGACATGGAGCTCTCTCATGGGCTGTAATTGGGTGATAAAAGTGGTGCTCCAAGTGCCAAAGAAGTGTGGGATTGGGATTAAGAAATGAGCAGTGATGGTACAATTGGCTGTTTTGTCCTGAGTGTAATGGTAAGAGCTGCAGGAGTGCAAGGTGTGTGTTCCAGTCCCCAGCACTTGGTTTGCACATGTCCTGGTCAGACACAGGTCCAACTTCCTCAATCCTTAACACAATAGAAGGAGTGTGGCTTTAAAAGGCACGGTCTCTGTTTCAGTGGTATAACAAAGATGAAGACCTCTATTATACCAATGCATAAACTTATATACCCCAGGCAGAACAATTCAAGTAGAACAATTGGTGACTTTCTACTTTCTCAAGTCTACATAACACAGTATATGTTTTAATAGATAGAAATAACTACATTTCTTAGCAACCAAGGTCCTTTTTGCAATCTTGTATCTTCTTCTTCCGTGTCTTCTTTGTTCTCTGTTCCGTTCCCACAGCTTTCTGCCAGGTAGTGGGACAATGTCCATCATCCTGGGCCTGAGGGATGTGACACTGTTCACCTCCAAAATTTCCCCTTTCTTTGTTTACAAATAAAACATCCTTTAGTGCTTTGTTTACAGTTTGTTGATTGCATTGCACCAAGCATGGTAAGCATATTGCAATACACAGAAACATCCCCACACCAGCCAATCCCATCTTTACTATGGGTTTAACCCATTCTGCTATTGCCCCATTCTTCAGCAGGTTTTCCAGCTAATCCCAGCTATCCTTAACCTGCAGCTTTGCAACTCCCTCTTGCAGCTGTTGGATGTTTCGGGCAAGTGCAGCACTGGAAGAGTCAGGAATACTCAAAAATGCACCAGTTCTCATGAAGCTCAACTGTGTAAAACATTTATGAAGCTAAAATTCCACAGTCCCAAATACTATTGGAGAGAGAGGCAGAAAATTCCACTGCTGCTGGGGCTGAACTGTCTGCAGTGACTGGGCAGGACTTGGCCCTGATGCCTGAGTGCTCTCTAGCCCCTCAGGATCGATCCCAACTGTGAGCCCCTGGCTCCATAACTTGAGAAGATGGTGTTCCTGCAAGCCCAGTGCTGTGTTGGTGGTCCTGGGGGCACCTCTTGCCCTGGCCTGCTGTGAATGTGTTTGTGTTGCAGCTCAATAAAGTCCCTTTCAGTGGTGATGGTGTCATTTTTGTGTCAGTTCCTCTCCCCTCTTCCCCTGCCCCAGTGGCTGCAGCACTGGCTTGTGCCTAAATGAACTCTTCCCCTGCAGCAGTTCCCTGCTGCTCTCAGAGAGGGTGGAGTTGAGGCCCCTGAGCAAAGGGAAAAAGGATCCATCCACGCCCCCTCCAGCCTCCCGTGTTTACAGTTCCCATCCCTGCTGGACACACAGCCTGTTCCCAAACAACCCCTGTTCTGTTCTCTCTCCATGTCTCCTCTCACAAGTCCCCTCCTATGATCTCCAGCTGCCCAGGCCCCTGTTTTTGAGGGGCATTCCTGGGCTGCTGCCCCCCCCATTCTTTATAAATGAAGTGCCAAGAGCCCCAAGTGCAGAGAGGTCTGCAGGGAATCAGTGCCAAGAGCTGCCCCTGCCTGCCTGTGTTCTTGCAGTTCTCCTTCCTGTTCTCCCTGGGCTGGAGAGACCTGCCTGCCCTGGGTTTATTGGAGCAGAGAGATGGGATTAAATTTGTCCAGAAGGGATGTTCACAAACACTCATTTTCTGGCAGGCAGTGCCATTTTCCTTTTGCCTTTCCCAGGTTTTTCCAAGTGCTGCCCAGCACGGGGATCCGTGTGCTGGGACAGTGATTGGCAGGAGAAAGGGGAGCCTTGGCCTCACCTGCCCAGCTCAGGTGGGTGGCACAGAATGGGGGTGGCCTGGCAAGGCATGAACATATTTCTGAGTTCTGGAGTGCCTTGAATCCTTTCCCTGTCAGGTTTCTCTCCCTCATTTCCTGGGCTCCAGCATCCCAGGTGTCTCTTCCTTTGCCCAAAGTCCAATGGCAGAGGATTGACTAACTCCCAAAGGCGGTTTGGAATGAAAATGATGCTGATCAAATTGGGCAAGGAATGCAGTAAGAAAAATGACCCTCCTTTTAATGCCTGAAACAGATAGGAATGAAAATGCTGGAAAAGGTCCCATTTTATTTGGTGTCCCCCCTGGATTTTTCATGGCTAAAACTCTCTAGTGAGCAATTGAACAGAAGGGTGAAGGGCAGGAGCCTTTGACTTAATTGCCAGTGCACTTAATTGCCTTGTTCTCCTCTCTTCCAGGCCAGGACCAAGCCCTGAATGCAGCCCAGCTCTGCCAAGTGCCCTGGGCTGTGAGCAGCCAAAGGCTGCAGCCCCGCCGGCCGGCGCTGGGGGCTCCTGGTGCTGCCCGTGGGGTGGGGTAAGTCAGAGGGACACGTTTCTCTCCTCCTGCCTGTTGGCATTTGCTCCCTGGGCACTGGCTCTGTTTGCCACTGCAGGCTGGTCCTCGCCGTGTGTGCTGGGAAGGGTGGAGAGGAAGGGGCGAAGGGCCGGGTGAGCGTGGGGTCCCCGAGCTGTGGGGTTGGGCTGCGCTGAGAGGGGCAGGTGGGTCCCCGTTGGTGAGCCTGAGCCTTGGTTTGGGGGTTCAGCAGCCCGGGGGGCCGAGCTGCGGGGTGTTTGCAGCTCTGCCAGGGCTGGAGCTGGGCTAGGCAGTGGGACAGGGGAGCTGGGGGAGGGTTTGGGACTGTTGGGAGGGAAAGGAGGGATGGATGGGCTGGATGGGGCCACGGACGTGTGCTCCTAGGAACACACTTGTCCAGGGCGCTGGGATCCGGGTCAAACTCCAGTTCCCCTCGTGTCCAGGGATGCAGGGTCTGAGGGATTGGATTGCCCTGGGAGTTTGCAGGAGACCAGGAATGAGAGGAAACGCGGTGCCAGAGCTATGTCCCAGCAGGCTGCGTTTCCCTGTGAGGACAGGGAGCCTGTGGGCTGAGATTGCGGTGAGTGTTGGGATGAGCATTCCAGGGAACAGGGAGCTCGGAATTCCAGGTGCTGATGGAACCATCACCTTGGGTATATTTAGTTTGTGTCTGTGGGAGCTGGGATTCGGGCTGGAGAGCTGTTGTTGGGAACAAAGGGTGGAGTAAAGTGCTACGTGGATGTGTAAGGAGGGACTGAGTAACAGGCAAGGGGGGTATTTCTATAGGATATCAATATTCCCCCCGGATGTGGGACAGAGCAGTGATAGAGGTGGTTTGGTTTGGTCTGGGCTGGTTTATCTGCCATAAACAACCCACCAGACCCTGAACCCTCACTGGACATGTCCAGCCCCTCAGCAGAAACTTAAGTAGGTAATTTCTTACAGAGGAAAAATGATTGGTAATTGTTTCTGATTTGTGGAGAATTTCCTTTGGAATGATCAACCAGAGAGTGTATCAGTGCAAAGCATCTCTATTGGGTCTTTTGTTTTGGTTTGTAATTTCCCTTCTGGCTTCAATGACTTTGGTGTGCTCCTGTTAGGGACGCAGCATGTTTTTATCTTGAAATTTAGGGTGGTTTGGTTTGTTTAGGGTTTTTCCCCCACTGAATTGGGCCTTCCGTGCACAGTCCGTGTTGTCCCACAGGACTGCTTTGGTTCTGGGTCAGAGAGAGAGAAGGGAAGTGGCTTTTCCTCATCTGGAATGTTTCCAAGCAGAAGTGGGGCATCGTGCTGCCCCTCCCCAAAGCACTGCAGGCACCTGGGAGTAGCTGAGGGCTGGCCCAGTTCTCTGAGACAGAACCATGGGGGAGAGGTTTAAGTATTAATCACATCTCTGGTGTCACTTGGTTGCAAAGATTGGGTGCTACAGTCCCAGAGTGTTAAGGAAAACAAGGAACTTCTGTTCTTCATGGCAAACCTTCTGCTATTGCTTGTGCAGTCTTTGGGTTCTGTTGTCTGAGTTCCTGTCCAGGATCTCGCTAAGAGAACCTGTTAGAAATTTAGAGGTGGGATTAGAATTTGGGTCTGTTGCCTACCAAACTGCCTCCAAATCCTGATGGACTGGAGTGATGAGTGCTCTCAGCCCAGGTTATTTCTTAACATTGTGTGGCTTTCCCTCAGCTGTGG